GAGTGGCTCAGTTGTGTCTGACTCTTCGCGGCCCCATGGACTGTGGCCCACCAGGCTCCTCTGTCCATGGGATTCTCCAGGCAAGAGTACCGGAGCGGGTTGCCACTTCCTTCTCCAGATCTTCCTGACCCAGGGATTGGACCCGGCTCTCCTATGTTGCAGGTGGATTCTTTACTGTCTGAACCACAAGGGAAGCCCATGCTCACTTATAACCTCTTTAAAGATCCTGTCTTCAAACAAGGTCACATTCTGAGGGACTAGGGCCAGGACTGGAGCATGTGACTTTTGGCGGTCGACACAGTTCAGCCCATAACACATTGGGCCAACCTGCTTCAACCACGCCAAGTCTCAATGTCTTCATCACTGAAATGGGGCTAACGATTGAACAACTCCTGAGCCTGTGCTCTAGAGCCTGGGAGCCGCAGCAACTGAAGCCTGAGTATCTGAGAGCCCGTCCTCTGCAACAAGCGGAGCCACCGCAGTAGGAAGCGTAGCCCCTGCACCTAGCGAGCAGCCCCTGCTCTCTGCAGCTAGAGAAAAGCCACAGGGCAGCGAAGACCCAGCACAGCCAAATAAATAAATAAACATTCTTTGTGAAATCTTACCTGGCGGCTCAGATGGTAAAGGCGTCCGCCTACAATGCAGGAGACCCGGGTTCAATCCCTGGGTCGGGAAGATCTCCTGGAGAAGGAAGTGGCAACCCACTCCAGTGTTCTTGCCTGTAGAATCCCATGGATGGAGGAGCCTGGTAGGCTACAGTCCATGGGGTTGCAAAGAGTCGGACACAAGAGGGAGATGAGGATGACCAGATCAAATAATTCTGATGACGCCCTTAGCCCGGTGCCTGGCCCCTAGATCAAACACTCAGACGTCGCCTCTCCCTGTCGCACGTGGGGGAGGCCACCTCTGGGAAAGCCACTTCTCTGCAGATGGATGCCTGGGTAATATAAACAGGACGCCGTGGACCTGTTGGTACTTACCTAGCCCCTGGCCCCACAGTTTATTTCCTTCCGGTAAATACCAAGAGGTATTGTGTTCTGAACACAATTTGCACTTTTTAGGCCTCCGTGGCTTTGCACTGGCAGTACCCTCCACCAAGGATGCCCTTCCTTTACCGTCTTCTAGGAGGAATTTGTGTCTTCAAGGGGGTAAATAAGACCCTCTAGAGCTCCCATCATGGCCCCCCTCTCCTGCTTAGGGTTAAACCATGTGCTAAGCTGACATGGACCTTGAAAATACTAATGATGAGGAGGCTGGTGATGGTTAATGACTGTCTCCTTCCTCTCCTCCCCACTGCTCCGAGCATTCCTTGAAGGCAGAGATGAGTTCCTTCTGGGGGCGGTGGGGGGGCACTCAGACATCCGGATGGTGCCTGGCACCAGTTACTCCACGGGCAGAGACCTGCTCAGACTAGATGGATGGCCAGGCAGAGGGTGCCAGGATAGGAAAACTGTGTGGGGGCGGGTGGGCGTGATCCCAATGACAGCGAGAGGGATACTAGAGCTGAGGTTGTGCTCAGGTGGGGCTGTCAACAGGTGAAGTGGAGCCGGAAGGAAGCACAGGAAACAGTCCACAGGGGTGGTCCGGAGGAGGGGGGCCTCACACAGACACACACACACACACACACACACACACAGGTTTCAGGAAGCCACAGTTACCTCAGGTGACATGCACATTGGTATTTACATTGCATGTCTTCCATTTCAGTTCTTCAAGATGCCTGACTTGATCTGGTAAGTTGATTTCATGAGCCACCGGTGGAATCTGAAATGCAGTTTGAGACCGCCTGCTCTAAGCAAGCCTGACACTTTGTGCTTTATGTTCTCCTGTATTTAAAATTTAATATTGAAAATGCATTTATGTCTTATCTTCATATCTTTCAGCTCAAAATAAGGAAGAGAGAGAGAGAGCACTGGGAAAATACAAAACAATAAAATCAAATAGGTTGTCGGGAAGGCAGTTTAGCTAAATGTGGCAAAACAGACACAGACATGCGTGTTTCTAGCAATTTCACTTTAAGAAATATGCTCGTGGGGCAGAGTGGTGTAGAGCCCTGAGCACCTTATGAAGAATATTTATAAAATGAAACAACATCCCTGACACCTGGGGTGCCCATGGAGCCATCCTTTGCCTGGGTTCACCCAACACTCATTTACTGACGTGGAAAGGGGGAGGGATCGTGGAGAGAGAGGTGCCAGGGAGTCAAAAGTTAATGCCAGCCTATAAAAGGATAATCCCTCTCTGGTTTTACAAGGGTGGGTGAATGGGAGAGGCAAGTTAGAAAGTGCATACACCAGGAGGTTACCTAGGGTTGACTCTTCTTGGGTTGACTCTGTGTTTTTGGCAATGAGCGTGCGCTCTTTTTGTAGGAAGGGGAGATTTTAAAGGACATGGGATAAAAGAAAGGAACAAGGAAAGGAGGGAAAGGGAAAAGCAAGAAGGAAACGGAAAGACGAGGGGCAGGAAGGGAGATAGGGAGGCCAGAGAAGAGAAAGGAGGAAGGGGTGGATGCTGGGGCGCTCAGGACAGACGAGCGCGCCAGGCCGCGCGGGCCGAGGCAAGAGCCGCAGGTCCCAGCGCCGCGCGCTTGGGGTTTTGGTCCCAGAAGCCGGAGGAGGCTCTGAGGGGAGCGCGCAGCCTTCACCGGGAGGGTAGCGCGCTCAGCGCCTCCAACTAGATCCCCGGTGGAGGACCGAGGCCGGGAGCGACCCCGGCCCGCAGTGGGGCCCTGCAGCGGCACCCCGCCGTCCGGGGTCTCCCTGAGCTTCCTCCCGGCCGCGCGCGCCAGAGCTCACCCCGCAACCCCGCCGCTGGCTCAGTATTCTTCTCGGGGGTTTCGGGGTGAGACGAAGAGCGCAGGAGGAGGGGGATGGGAGGAGACGCAGAAACACCATCTGTGCCAATTTTTTCTTTTTTCTTAAAAGTACCTTTTTTAATGTAAATACTTTTAAAGAAAAAGAAAAAAGAAAAAAAAAATCTCAGCTCAGGGTGTCAGTTTCAAAAAGTTTCATGGAGGAGCGGCGTGGGGGCTGGGCGCAGGACTGGAGGCGGCGTAGGTGGAGCTGGGGGTCCGTCCTGCCTCCGGCCACCCGCCTCCCGATCCCGGGCCTGGGACTGTCCTGGGTCCCCGGGCTGGGGAAGTGCGGCGGCTCGGCTCCCCCGACTCCTGGTCCCCGGGCTCCCGCCTCTGCTCTCCTTTCTGTTTCTCCCGCCCCCCACCCACTGTTCTGCTCAAGGCGTCACCAGTACAGAGAGCTGGAGGCCAGCTAACCTCGCGCTCCCGGCGTCGTCCTCACCTAGCGAGCGACGCGCGAGCGGGCGGGTGTGCGTGCGTGGGTGGGTGGGGGGCCGGGACTGCGAGGGGCGGGGGGCTCTGTGCCAAACGCCAAGACCCGCTCCTCTTCCAGCCCGGGTGCCGGCCACCGCCATCCCTCTCTCGTCTCTCTCGGTTCGGCCACCTCGCTCTCCTCCGCTTCCCAGCCCTGAGCGCCTTGGAGCGGTGGTGATGAGGTTTGGCTCGAACTTGGAAAAGCGGAGGAGGGGGTGTTCTGGGCGGGGAGGGGGGGCGCCCTCCAGCCACCCCCACCTCGCGGTAAGAGCTGCTGCTGGAGTGATGGCGCTGCAGGCCGCCTCTCCCTCCCCGGTCGCCATGCCCCCTCCCCCTTGCGCTTTTCGGTGGCGCCTCCCGGAGGGACACCCCCCAGCAGACCGGCGGGGATCGGAGGGGTGGGGGAGACGATTTTGCGGGTTTGAAGAGCGCGCGAGGAAGCAAGGAGGTACTGGAAGTGGCTTAGGGAGGAGCCAGGTGTGCTGAAGCGCCCGTGGTGGGCGGGAGCCCAGCCCAACCTGGTCCAAAGCCCCCGGGCCCTGCACTCCACACCGACGGTCGCCGGGAGAAGTTAGATGGGCGGCTGCAGGGTCAGCTGTCACAGCTTGCGTGTGTGTGTGTGCGCGCGCGCGCGAGCCAGCAAGTGCGGGCCCCGCCGCCTCTCCCGCCTCCCTGGGGACCCCGCCAGGCTCCACATCTCCGCTCTTCTCATCACCTCGCGTCCTCCACCCCGGGCCTGTGCGCATCCGGGGCATCGGCACAGACCCCCTCTTTCCTTCTTCCATCCCCTCCCGCAACCCCGCTGGCGGAGGCTCTTTCTCTCCACCCTTCCCCCCAGGGTCACTATGGGGACGCGAGGGAGAGATTTGTGTTTAATTCTTGCCGCTATTCAGAGGGAAGAAAAAAAGGGACCAAAGGCAACCCGAAAGCAATTTACTTCAAGCCTTTATTATTGTAGTGTAAAAGAAGTTTATATACAGGGAACGTTTCCAGCAAAACACTCACTAAATAGCCTTCACATCAGCCCCCCCCCCCCCACTTCCGGCCCCGCAGTCGGCAGCTCTGCTTGGGAGACCCCTCTTTCGGGGCTCCCAGGCTCTCCCTTCATCTCTCTTCTCCGGACTCCACCACTCGAACCCCGGGTCGCAGGAGCCCCGGCCCCTTCCCTCTGCCCGGGGCGCCGTGAACCCCGCCTCCTAAACGGTCTTCCTTTGTCCCTAAGCAGCCCCCCAACCTCCCTCTCCCACCCGCTGATTGGTTTCCTCATGGAAACCCAGAGCACTTTCCCCTCTTGTCTTAGGTGCTACTGCGTGCCTCCTGCAAATCAGAACCAGCTCGTGGTCGAGGCCAGTTAGAGACAGCTCGTCATCAGCAGTGGGGCTCGCGAGCACCCAAAATAAGGGGGGGGAAATAACCCTGCCCACCCTTCCCCACCCTAAGCATCCTCCCCCAAGGCAGGAACAAGACATAGACACAAAAGCAGCAGGGCATCCCTTCCCCGCGCGCGCCTGCGCGCGCGCGCGCGACAGGTGTGGGTGCCAGGCAACTAAGGCGAGCGGCTCGCGCTGCTGGAACCCAGCTGCGCCCAGGGCGCGCGGGCGCAGCTTAAGTCTCTTTGCGCGGGCCAGCGCGCCTGGTTCAAGGCACGCTGGCTCTTCTCTTCTGGGGAGGGTGTGTGAGAGCCGTGGCAGGGGGCCTCTGCGAGCACAAGTCCAGCGGCACACGGGCAAGGGCGGCGCTGCCTCCACCATCAGAAGGGGATTTAGCGCAAGCCAAGCAAGTACAGGCGAGGGACAGTCGAAAGCAGAGTCTGGGGAGGTGCAAGAGAGTCTTCAGGTGACCTGGCTGAGAGGGCAGACTCAGACGGCGATGCATGGCTCAGCTCATGTGTCACTGGGCCCACTGCCAAGCCTGATTGTGTCTGTGGGTTGTTTGCACGTGGGCTTCGAAGGCTCGAAGGCATGGCCGCCAAGTTCAGTCACGTGTCCACTGGTGGTTTACACTCGACGGGGTCGAGGGCCGTGCAGCTGCTCATCATAGCGCTCCAGCCAGGAGCGCAGCTCGGAGACCTGGTAGCCATCGGGGCCGCGGCCGCCCTGGTACATAACGGTGCCACTCTGGATGATGTAGAGGCGCTCGAAGTAGGCGCCGTAGGCCGAGCTGCTGGAGTTGGTCATCGTGTCGAGCACGAGGGCGCATTCTGGAGCCCCTTGCTGCAGTACGCGCGCGGCGCTGACCCGGTCCTCCAGGCTTCGGTGTTGCGGGATGCTATAGGGAGAGTCTGTGGTGACCCAGCCGTCGGAAGGGTGCGCTTCCTCGATGTAGATGATGAGGAAGTCGACATCGCGCTGATACTTGGTGACCAGGCGCTGGAAGGCGCTCATACGCGCCATGAACGGTGGTCAGGTGCAGCTGCCGAAGTTGAGCACCAGCGGGCGGTTTCCTCGGGCGTAGTCGAGGATGTGCTGGTTCTGGAAGCCGTCGGGCAGGACCACCTCAGAGTTGGGCGCCGGCCCGCCTTCATGCGCCTGCTTGAAGAAATCCAACTTCTGGCCGTGCCAGACGGCCCTCAGCGACGCCAAGGTGCATAGGCGGTTGTCGTCGGACACGCAGACAGGCGGGTCGTCGGGGGGCACCTCCTCGCCGTCGCTGTTTAGCTCCACTTCGGTTTCCGGCTGACCCCGGCGCCGACGGCCCAGTAAATGCTTGCGGATACACAGGAAGTCTAGCAGCCAGAGCATGAAGGCCGTGCCCAGGAAGCGCGGGAAGAGCACGAGGCACGAGGCCGTCTGGGCGCAGAGCCTCAGGGAGTGAAGCAGCAGGGAGCGCAGCATGGTGGCGGCGCCCCCCAGACCACCCTGGGACCCCCTACTTTCCCCCACCACCCACCGCGGGGCGGCCTGGCGAGGCATCTGGGCTTCGGCTGTGCGGAGAGCTCAATTTATAGCCGAGGCATCAATTGGCGGGAGACTCCACCTCCGGCCGGGGCCCGCCCCCTTGCAACTTGAGCCCGAAGGGATCACCCCGCGGCGCGGCCAGGGCCTTAGAAATCGCCGGCCGAGGGCGGGCACCAGCGGCTGGAAGGCGGGGCGGCCCGGCCCGGCCGGAGGGGCGGGGTTGGGCCCCGAAGCCCGCTTGCCCGGACGGGCGATCAGGACCTCTGCGGCGGCGCGGGTCAGATAGCTGAACCAGGGACCTGGGAGTCCGCGGCGGAGGCCCTCCGGCTAGCGCAGGCACGAAGCTGGCCCCGATCCCGGCGTCCCGGCCCCGGCCCGCGCGCGCCCCTCGCCGCGCACCTGAGCGGAGATCCCCGGCGGACAGCCGCGCCGCGCCGGAGCTCCGGTTCGCTTCCCGCGCGCCGCCGCCAACGCCGCCCCCGCCGCTGATGCTCGTGCGGGGCCGCTGCCCAGGTGNCGGCAGCGGCCCCGGGCGGCTCTCCCACTAGGGGTAGCTGTTGCCTGAACGCCGGAGCGCTCCCCTCTCACCGCTCGCCTCGGCCGGCGCAGCCCCGGCCGCCGGGCGCACCCGTCCCGTGCGTCCCCGGACGTCGTTCTCTGCCCCGGGAACGTCGGGACTGGAGCGCCCGCGCTGAGCCACCTTCGCCGACCCAGAGCGCTGCGGCTCGACTCACCGCCGAGGCGCTGGGACGCTGGGAAGTGCGTACTCTCAATGGGGGAATGTGTGTGGAGGCTTTTAGGGGTGCGGGGCAACTCTCCAACTCCGTGGGGGCCCTGGTAGACTCTGCTGCCGCGTCCGAGATCTTCTGATGACTCGCTGCGCGCGGCGCGGGGCCGGCGACTTGGGGCTGCGGGGCGCGGAGTATCTTGACCTGGGGGGTCCCCGAAGCCGGGAGCCAGGTCGCCTAGTCTCGGGCCTCTTTGACCCCCGGGGCGAGGCCTGAAGCGGTTCGAGAGCGATCTGGACGCTGGAGGAGTCCAGCCCTCCCGGGACGCTCTCGCGGTCACGGGGACTCGTCTGGGGCGGCGGTGGCTGAGCCGGAGTACGGCGCCGCACCGCCGGCGTCCCGTGCGCTCGCTACCCGCCCGGGGACCGGCCGCCTAACTTCTTCCCGGGACGGACACAGCGCTCGCATCCCGGGCAGAGGTGGAAGCTCGCTGATCCGGATCCAGTGAGGGCACCGCTCTCGGCGGCGGCGGCGGCGGCGAGGGAACAAGTCTCGGGCAGTCAACCTAGGGCACCGAGCCCCTACCCAGGACCCGGTGGGCCCCAGCGGGCGCCGAGAGAGATGCGCGTCTTGGGCAGAGGTCGTCTCCTCCGGTTTTCGCGACTCTGGCGGGACCCTCTGCCCTGTAAACTCCCACCTGGGACCGCGGCTCCGGCAGGTCAAGATCCCGAATGGAAAGCAGGCCAGGGGCCTGAAGGTAGACCCTTTTTTCCTTCTCTCAGCCAGGCGATGTGCCCGCGGCCTGGGTCGGCGGCGTTGGGTGCTGCAGAGCCGGGGACTTCCCACCCAGAGGAAAGGCCGCTTCATCCCGGTCCCCGCTCTTCTCAGCGCCCCCCCCGCCCCCGCACTGCCCATCAGCACCGTGGGTGGGGGTCTTCAGGTGAGTTAGGGGATTCTCCCTGATCCCAAAACCTGGGTGGGGGGCATCCCCCTTGCCTGCTCCTCCAACCCCCGCAGAGCATCTCTGAGCTGGCAAATTGGTGGTTCCTTGAGTTATTTTTTGTGGCAGCCAGGGGGATCGGGGAAGAAGAGAAGAGAAGCCTTCTACTTGGCTGGTCTCTGAAGGGCGTTTCGGGGCCCCGAGTTTGCCCCCTCCTGGGCAGGGGTCCTGGGAGTCCCAACTTTTGTTGGAGAGATTCTCCAGCCCTGATTCCTGAATTTCTGGGAGGTGACAGTCTCAGACCTGTGCCCTGTCCCCACCATACACAGGACCTGGGCCAGGGCCATGGGGCAATCCTCCCTACCCCCTTCCCACATTTAGTCTCAGAAAATCAAAAAGCCAATGCCGGTGCCCCAGGCCGCAGGGACACCGCCTGGCTGGGAGGGCCTTGGGCGCCTCCTGGGAAGTGGTGGCAGCAGCGGGGGGCGGGGGGAGTGGCCTGAAGCACAGGTAAGGCTGGTCCCTCTGGACCCTCTGCAGGCCACACAGGGAGACCACTGACCCACAGGCCCCTCCGGCCCCAGGGAGGCTCAGGTGAGCAGCGCTTGTTCTCAGGACTGTCAGCTGTTCTGGCGGATCTGCTTCTGTCCTTGGGCCGGCCGGCTCCACCCTGCCTCTCGGGATTCCGGGACGTTGGACCATCCGGCTCCCACAGTGCCATGTGCAGGTGAGGACAGGCCTGAGCTCCAGGTGGCCTTTGGGACGCAGGCTCTGTGCCTCTGCTCGATCCTCCCTCCCTCTCTCTCCTAAACCCTCTTCCCTCCCAAGCAGCCCCTGCCCCCTTCCCCGCCCCCTCAGGCCGCTTCCTCCCAGCTGCCCGCGTCCTGTCCTGACTTGCCCTGCCCGAGGCCAAGTCTTACCTGGGACCTGGAAGATCCTGGCTGTGGGCCCTGGGGGATCAGCGTTGGAACCTGAGCTGTGCCCATGCCAGTGGGCTGGCCGGCGACTGGCTCTTTCCTGCCTGCCCTGCGGCAGCTCCAGAAGGGGGCGGGCCGGGGAAAGAAAGGGAAGGACGAGGTGGCCTGGGTCCCCTGGGTGTCCAGGAGCAACTTGGATAGGGGAGGGGCAGGGGCACGTGGCTGGGCCCCCGGGCAGGGCTGGGAGGACGTCCCCGCTCCCCAGGGGACGGGGGTGGCCTGTGTCTCCCTGCAGGTAACACAGCTGCCAGCTGCCAGAGAGATGGATGCTGAGACTCCCTGTGGGGTGGTCAGGCCCCCCCTGCAGGAGGGCCCCCCTGGGGCTTCAAGGGGGGAGCAGGGGCAGCCGGAACACCTGGCCAAGCATGTCGAAGAGCGGCAGATGTGTTCCGTGCGCTTGCCCAGCCTCCCGGTGACCAGAGGCCCCAGCCCTCCATCTCCCCAGCCCCCTCCCCGGGCCTCCTGGGGCCCTGGGGGAATCCCAGAGGTTGTCCTGCCTCTGAGCCCCTGCGAATGCTATTCCCTCTGCCTCCTCCCTCCCCTGGGACCCCCAGGCCTTCTCCTCGGCCTGCACTTTTCCTTGGGTCCGACCTGCTCCACCCCCACCGTCTCCCTCCTCGTGGCAGAGGGCTGGGCACCTCTCACCACTGGTCTCCCGTCGGCTACTGCCCAGATCCTGCCTCTCCCAGGCCAGCCCAGCCAGGATCCTCCGCAGCGAGGAGCCTGCCCCCCGCCCCCGCGCCCCCGAGGAATCCAATAAACCTTTGTGAAACCAGCTACCGGAGTGCAGTGTGGACTCATTGGAAACGTCTAACTTCCAAATATTTCATCCTGCCCTTCTGCACGCTGGCGGGCAGCCCTGAGCGAGGTAGGGCGTGTCCGAGGCTGGGCAGAGTGAGGTCTTCGAGGAGGACCCGGGGCGGGGGCGGGGGTGGGGGGCGCACACACAGTCCCTGGGAGGTCCCCTTCGGGTAGAGCTTCTGGTGAATCCACCCGTTCCCCCTGGCCGCTGACCCGCCTGCCTTCCCTTCCTGGGAGTCCTCCTACGGGGGTGGTGGGTGGGGAGGGTTGTGCTCACCTTTTTCTTTTGCTTCAAGGACCATTTTTTTCTTTCTGACTTGACCTCTTCCGACTCTCGGCTTGGTTCGGCTCAACAGGGTGGATGTACTGCTGGTGGGTGGTGGCTGCAGGCTCAGCGGTTTCCAGGCTTGGGGGTCTTAGAGGTGTCCTTGACCCAGCAGGTCTCTGTCCGTCTTCACAGGACATGCTCGTCTCTGTCCGTCTTCACAGGACATGCTCCAGCCGGCCACCTTCCTGGGAGCTGCCGGCGGGGCTCTGGGGTGGTTGGCAGCCTGGGAGACGGGCCAGGAGAGCTTGTTGGGGCCCTGGGGCCTGGATGGAGCTGCTGTTGGCAGCGTTCCCAAGCTGGGGGAGGTCTGGGGCTCCTGGCCAAAGAGAGGGGAAGGCCCGGAGGTGAGGCCCTGGCTCCCTAGTGGGTGACCTGGGCGTGTCCCGCCCTCCCTGCAGCTGCATTGTGAATTGCATGGGGATTGGGTGGCTGCTTTTCACCGCCTTCCCTGTGCTACGCCTCCACGATCCCAGAAGATTCAAGGAGGGCCTATGGGTGCTCCCCTGGATGCTGCGCTGGAGCTGGGGTCTCAATATGCTCTGGGGCTGTTGAGACCCCCCTGCTCAATGGAACCTGCTCCAAGCCTGTCTCTCGACTGCCCCTTTCCGGCCCCAGCTCTGGGGCCTCATATGTGGGCCCAGTCCTACCTCTCAGACCCAGCCTAGCTCTGACTTGTTCCTTCCCTGAGCGCAGACACAACTTAGCATTCTGCATGCCTCTTGGTACCAGACCAGGCCCCCTGCGGAGGGTGGGTGACTTCTTGCCCGAGGCCCACACGGGAGGCTGCCCATGGGTGCGGCCTGCCTGGGGCTGGAGGGATGTCGGGATGCCCGGTCATTCATGTGAGAGGCAGACTCTGCTCTGAGCCCTCCCCCAGGCTGGAGACCATCTTTGGGTCAGTCTGTCCTTTCCATCTCTTACTCTCTCTGGAAGAAGGCAGGGTACAATCAGCCAGCAGACTGGCAGCCTCAATCGCTTTGCTTCTACGACTGTCCTTCCTCGACTGAGAGGTGTGCGTGATGCCGTGACCGCATTGCATTTGCCCTGTTATTTATGCCGGGCATTGCCCACTGTACACGAGGGCACATGTGGGTGTATCTATTTATACCCAGCCTTGTTCTGAATTGTACCTCAAACCTCTTGCAGGAAGCCGTGGAATAGCAGGGACACCAGAGGGGAGAAGAAAAAGTGGGACCGTGAGGAAGGACCTACTCCCCACTGGGGACCCAGGGCCACCCCAGCAGCCTCCACGTGGGCCACGGACCCATTTCGCCTCGAATATCCTGGTACTTAGACCTGATGGCTGTGATTCCCAATGTCCAGAAGACAAAATGACTGTCCAGCTGCCCGGATGTGTAGCTAGGGGTGTGCCCGCACTAGTCAACATCCTGGCAGAACCGTCTCTGAGGCCAGTCAGCCTCCGTCTCTGAACCTGGGGTCACCACGGTGCAGATACCCAGGGCTGTGTACAGATTAAATGCCACTACACTCAGGGTTGCCAGTGTGTAGGAGCTCAGAGCAGAGAGGGACCCTCACCTGGCGTTGCTGAGGCTGAGAGATGGCCAATAAAGTGGCGAGGGTCTCAGCTCTGCTGTCTGATGAGGGTGCCCTCCTGAACTGTACTGACCCCTTACCCCCACCCCCAAACCCTTGTCCACACTAGGCTCCCAGTGGGCTCCCAGTGAATCAGGCTCAGTGGCCACCCTTCTGGAGCCCCCGCGCCTGGCCAGGCCCCTGGGAAGAGTAGGCGTGCTCATGGGAAAGGTCCCTAGTCTTCAGTGAGACCGTTTGGAGCTGGTGGGAGACAGGAAGGCTCAGGAAAGGAGGGTCTGTGCCACTCTGTGTCCCAGCAGCCTCTCTCTGTGTCACTCTACTACGGCCAAGCTGTCCGATCTTGGGCAAGTCACTTGAGTTCTCTGTGCCTCCACCTTGTCATCTGTGAAATGGGCAGATCATTCAACCCCACCATTATTGTTGTTCAAAGGCTCAGTTGTGTCCAGCTCTTTGCAACTCCATGGCCTGCAGCACACCAGACTTCCCTGTCCTTCACCATCTCCTGGAGTTTGCTCAAACCCATGTCCATTGAATCAGTGATGCCATCCAACCATCTCATCCTCTGTCGTCCCCTTCTCCTTCTGCCCTCAAGCTTTCCCAACATCAGGGTCTTTTCCAATGAGTCAGTTCTTCACATCAGATGGCCAAAGTATTGGAGCTTCAGCTTCAGCACCAGATCTTCCAGTGGATATTCAGCATTTATTTCCTTTAGGATGGACTGGTTTGATCTCCCTGTCCAAGGGACTCTCATGAGTCTTCTCCAACACTACAATTCAAAAGCATCAATTTTTCGGCACTCTGCCTTCTTTATGGTCCAACCCTCACACCCGTACATGACCACTGGAAAAACTATAGCTTTGACTATATGGAACTTTTATTACCCCCATTTTATAGATGAGAAAACTGAGGCTCAGAGAAATGATTTGCCTAAAGACACAGAACTAATGTCTGATTCCAGAACTCCCCCTCACTGGTTAATGAGAGATGCTCAGAGGTTAATGGGGTGGCACTGGGGGAGAATGGGGTGTGGGGAGGCTGGGAGAAGGGCTTGGGGGTGACCTGGCCTCTCAGAGGGATGGGAGCTCTGGGGAAGAGGAGTCTGCCTAGTTCTTTGGGGACACGCTGAGTTGGAGGTGTCTGCAGGTCTCAGGAGAAGATTCTAGCACTAGGCTGCAATGGGGGCGTGGCAGAGGGGTGGGCCTCGGCATTGTGGGTAAAATAAAGCTTTGCTTTTGGAATTTCACGCTGTCGGGGAAAGATGGTTGCTGATAAGCCACAGTCTCAAAGCCAGCTAACTCCTCACAGAGAGGGCTGGGTGCTGGGCTGCTGGCCCCTGGCCAGTGAAAACACTTCTCGGAGGACAGCATTTCTAGGGCCCTCGGGTGGTGGCAGGTGTGGGTGCCCATAGCCGAGGCTGTCCCCGTAAGGACCGAGTCTTTCCGTCCAACGGGTCGCTTGACCTTTGGAGTCTCTGGGATCTCAGACGCTTGATTCAAATCCTGGCTCCACTTCCCGTAGGCTGTGTGGTGCTGGGCGCACACTCCTGACCCTCTCTGAGCTCATCTGTGAGCCGAGGTGCTGGTACCCTCTGCTTGGGGGTTGATGGAGAGCACAGGAGGTGTGAATGTGGCGTGCCCGGCACACGGGGGCCGGACAAGTGGCGGCTGTCTGAATGCGGCTGCTTTTCCTCGGCTGGTGTCTGACGGATATGATGGAGGGGGTTGGGGACAGCTCAGCTCCGGGGCGGTGAAGTTCACGGGCACCGTGGGGTCACAGGTCTCCGTGGGGTGGTGGTGGAGATGCCCATGCAGCCGGAGTGGCCCGAGAGGGCCCCGCCTTGCTCCTGCTGATTGCCCACCCAGGAGGCCCGCTCTGCCGCCTCCTTCTCCAGCTGCAGAAGCTAGTCTCCTTTGAGGCTTGGCACAGCGGCCCTTTCTCCTTATATCCCCCAAATACAGAAAGCTCCGCTCCCCCATGTCTCCCGCCCTGACCAGGGACCCCCTGTGGGCACACGGGGACTGACTCAGCAGTCTGCCTGGCCAGTACGTGGTGGGCTGGGACCCCGCAGAGCTTCTGGACTTGAGCCCACTCCCGGGGTCACCTGGAGTAAGCCCCTTGGCTCTCTGAGCCTCGGTTCCTTGAGGGGGGGTCTGCTAGTGCATCTCAGAGCAGAGGGCGCTCCTGGTGAGTTAGGCTCTGTCAGCCTTATGCTGCCTGGTAACAAACAATCACGCAGAAGCTAGCAGGGTGTCTCACGTGCTGTGGGCGGCTCAGGGTGCCTTGCTGATCTTGGCAGGCTCCCTGGCGTGCCTGGTTGTCCACTGGTGTCAGCTGACCCAGGGGATCTCAGCTGTCTGGGATGCTCTGCTCCACGGACCCCTTGTGCTCTGGTGGGCTTGCCTGGCCGGGTCCCTCGGGGGTGGCAGAGACACAGAAAGGAAGCAGTCTTGACGTGTGACTCGGTTTTAGCCCCTGCTCATCCTGGGTCTGCTCCCATCCTATCAGCTCAGAGAGGGCACCCACCTAGGGGGCGGGCCTGCCGAGCTCCTGGGGAAGCTCGGGGCACTGGGAGTGTGACAGACTGTCTCCCACTGGGATGGAGCCCTGGGCGGCAGCTGGTTTTACCCTCAGCCCTGCCCTCCTGGCGCCTGGCCCAAGGTTTAGCCAGACCCAAGTGGGACCAGACCCAGCCTGAAACTCTGAGGCGTGATCTCGAGGGAAGATGCATTTCTGTAGGGTCTCAGGTCCACGCCCTGCCCCTCCCCTGCGGCAGCTGCATGGGGCTGGAGGGCTGGCCAGCACCCTTCTCAGAGGACCCGTGTGCTGTGGTCTGAGTGGCCCCAAGGGCTCACTGATCAACTCGGCGAGTCCTCCGGGTATCCCCGTTTCCTGCTTGGACACTGACCTTGCTGAATGACTCGGGGTCCATCCCTGCTCCCGTGGGCCTCCTGTTCTCACCTCTATGATGGGGATGAGCTCCATGCTTTGTAAAGGAACTTCTCCCTAGGGCTGGGGGCAGGGGGTCTCAGGGAGAGAGATAGTGGGGGCGAGAGAGAGGCAGGGAGCCCGGGAGGCAGGCCTAGCCTCTGCCTCTGATATTTGCCTCTGTGACTCTGACAGTTGCACCATTTGCCTGTCAGGCCTGCTGGGCAGGGAAGGGGGACAAGGTATGGCCCCTGCTTCAGAGGGACCCCCAACCCCTTCCCCACCCTCCCTTCTGCCCAAGGACCTGCCCAGCAGGCCAGCTGATAGGCAAATGGTGCGGTTGTCAGCATCATGGAAGGGGGTCATCAATACACACGCTTGTACCCATCATCCCCACCAAGGGGTATGCAGAAGCTTCATGAAAGAGGCAAAGTACAAGGGAGGGTGGAGGTGAGGCTGGGGTCCCTCTGAAATTAGGGGCCATACCTCGCCTCCCTTCCCTGCCTGGGGGTGGCTCCTGGTAGGGCAGGGGGCTTCATCCAGGACGGAAGCCTGTTACTGCGAAGCAGTTCAACACGCCGAGGGTCCAGTTCCCCAGGAGGACTGTGCTGGTCTGCTCTATTTCTGAGGAGCAGCGTATCCACTGCCTTGGCTGCTCCGCCTGTAGACAGGACAGGGATGCGCGGATGCTGGGGAACTTTCATCAAGGCCCTACTGTGTGCCAGGCCTGAAAGAAGTGTGTTTTCACGTGCTAGTCCCGGGGTAGGAAGCTCTGTGCTCAGCCGTGGTGAGGAGGAGGCGGGGGGCGGGGGGAGTCCTGCCAAGCAGTGTGCTGTGTGCATTTGTTCGTTCATCCATTCATTCGTCCGTCCATTCATTCATTCAGCACCTGCAGCACTCAGCTGTTCTGAGGAGCACACACCAGCCCTGCCTTGGAGGGCCTCGGGTCTGTGGGTGGGAGCTGGAATTCCAGGTCGGTTTGGAGGTTGGCCCAGGGCTGGCTGGAAGTCTCGACAAGCCCGGGTAAACCTGGTCCTTACCCTGTGGCCAGCGGGCCAAGACGCAGAGGCTGATGACAGAGGTTGAGAGCCCAACCCAGAGGGACCTAGCTCCCTCCTGCCCTCTGGGACCTGTCGTGAAACAGCTCGGCTGGAGTTGGGGATGTAAGGGCTATGGTGGGTCTCGCTGTGGGGCTGGACGGGGACACGCAGAGTCATCACGTGACCACCCTGCAGGGGGACTCTCCTGGAGGAGTGGGTCCTAGAATATCCTCTCCCTGAAGTCCCTAGGTGTCCCTGGCCAAGGCTGCTTCCTGTCAAGGCTCAGAACTGAGGCTGAGATCTCCCAGGTGCTGTGGGCCCCACGGCTAGGCTGCGGACAGCCTGGTTTGGCCAGGACCCTTCCAGGCTTCAGTCTGGGTGGATCACCAGTCCACGATCAGGGATGTGCGTTCTTGGAGCTCGAGGAACTTCTCCCCAAGACCCCAGGCCTACCGCCGGAGTGTGTGGTCGACAGGCAAGGCCTCCACCGGACAGAAGGAGCCCCCGGGGAGGGCCTGGGAGCCCTGGAGAGGGGGTGGGGCAGCCACAGGAAGGTGTGGTCAGAACTGCCTGCGGAGACAAGGGTGGGGAAGGTGAGGCCAGATCCTCGTTCTAGAGTGGATGTTGGAAGCAGCTATATGGCAAGCCTCGGGCAGGTGTAGTCAGTGTGCCAGGGCAGAGGGCCACACTCCCCCCGCCCTCGCCACCACCTCCTATCGCCTCCAGTCTCCCCTCCTATCGCCTCCACTTCTGACCCCCCTTCCTCTCTGACCCCCGTGCCCATGACCCCGGGGGTGGCTCCATGGGTCAGAGGATGCTCACAGCCCTTAAGAGCAAGAACTTCTGTGACCTCCACAGGCCCCAATGGCAGATGATGACGGTAAGACCTACCCTCCCCAGGTGATGCTCCCGCCCTGAGCTGGGCAGGTGGGCTCAGGAACCGCCCTGCTCCCGGGACCAGAAGGGCTGCAGCCTCAGCTGAGGGGTAGCAGCTGAGCATCTCCGGGAGTCAGGGTGCAGGTGCGGGCGTGTCTGGAGCAGCCCCGCCACCCACTGCTCCGGGATGGATAGGTCACCTCCCCAGACCCCGTGCAGGGCACCCCCCAACCCCGGCTGGGGTTAGGCCCTCCTGATGGACTGCCCATCCCGGCTTGGTGGCCCCAGAGGGATTCTCGGGGTACCTCTGTCCTCAAGAAGGGCTCTCTGGAGAGGAAAAAAGAACACATTTCAACACCTCCAGATTCTGAAAATGGATTTCTCCCAGGGAAACAGACTCAGAGCACGCTCCCTTCCCGGAGAGAGAGCGAGCCAGGAAAACAGTGGGGGTGCTGGGGGGAAGGGAGGAAGGCCCCGGCCAGGCCAGGATCGTGGGAACAGGACGAGGAGCTGGAGAGAGCTGGCTGCAGACCCTGCCGGCCGGCGATTGCAGGCAGTGGCCCCAGGCAGGCGACTTGCCCTCTCTGGCCTCAGTTTGTCTTCCTGATCAATGGGCCCCTCTCCCTGCCTCATGAGTGATGCTTTGAGG